TCACTGCCCACCCTGCAGCCACCTACCACTCAGACTTGCAAAAGTCCTGTTTTGCTCACCTCTCGTGTTAAACATTTAAGCTTGGTTGCTCTTTTTTTTTTTTCTAAAAAATTTTCAAAGATGATTTTTGAAGAATACTATGCACTGTGGCAGAGGTACAAACAGGGGAATATTTTGGTTCCCTGCTGGTAGTAATGCTCCCATCATTGCAGAGGGCAATTTGGTAACATGTAGCCAAAGCCTTAAAATTCTATTGAGTGGTGGGGCAGGCACAGTGGGTCATGCCTGTAATCCCAGTACTTTGGGGGTCCAAGGCAGGAAGATCTCTTAAGCCCAGGAATTTGAGGCAAGACTAGGCAACAAAGCAAAACCCTATCTCTACAAAAAAATAGAAAAATTAGCCAGGTATGGTGGCACGCACCTGTAGTCCCAGCTATTTGGGAGGCTGAAGTAGGAGAATCACTTGAGCCCAGGAGGCCCTGGTTGCAGTGAGCTGTGATCACACCACTGCACTCTAGCCTGGGCAACAGACTAAGGCCCTATATCAGGAAAAAAAAAAAAAGCAACACATTCTGTTTGGGGGACTTTAGCCTAAGAAAACAATTAAGAATGGATGCAAAGAGTTAGCTGCAAGGATTCTTTGCTGTTTTCTGTAATAGCAAAAACTTGAGAACAACCTTAATATCCAAAGATGGAAGATGGTTTCAGTACACTGTAGCATATTCATATAATCAGGTAGCTCTGAAGAGTGGAGTTTTAGAAGAATATTTAAAATAGACACCCCAAAATAATTTTCTGTAACAAACATACATACGCCCATTGTGATCCCATTTCTGTCAAATCGACATATACTGAGTGTGACATATGCATATAAATATTCGAAGCTGGGAAGAGCAGTCACCAAAATTTAGCAGTAATCATCGCTTCCAGAGTAGTTCATTTCAGCTTCCTCTTGTTTATCTGTGCTTTCTGATTTTTATAGAAAAGAGTGTATGTTTTTTGTATATTGAAAGGAAACAATAAATTAGAAAAATTAACAAAAATGGTTGGTGATACTTTACATGCTTTGTTACCATTTAAAGTCCCAGCTTACTCCAAATAGGGTCCTGTCAACACCAACTGGGACTTTTCTGTCTCTTGGGGAGTAAGTGCTCCATGAGGAAGGTCAAAGAGAATGTCAACCTTCCTTCTGCTATCTGAGGAAATCTGGATATGAGAGCCAACTTCTAGGTTGTGATGCTGCAATTTACTGAGAAAAAAAAGATCAACACACCCCCACCATCTATTTATTTAATATTAAAAATAATATTTCACTGAGTTTGGCTGGCGTCAGCCCGAGCAGTTACTCATACAGGAATTCAAACAAAAGCAGCATTGGCTCTGGGCCAGTGGGTTGGTGCTGGGTGGTCCATGTCGGTCCTTAGCTCAGAGCAGTTCCTAAGGCTGCTTTGAGACCTGATTTGGGTTGGGAAGATGATGTATTCATTTATTTATTAGAAATGTTTTAACAGGAAATGCTAATAGTTTGCATTGAGGGAGAACTGCCCTGGAGACAGCTGGAGGAACCCAACAGACATCGCCAGGGAGGAGATTGCTGCTCATGGCCTTGGAATTAAATCAGGGTCTGTTATGAGAGTCTACACTGGAACCCAGCACACTAAACTTGCCCAAAACACCCAGGATGCTTTGCTTCAGGACAGAGGAGGAAGGAGCAGCTCCACTCTTTCAGCTGCCCTGGGCCTTTTATCTGTCGCCATTTGTTTCTCAGAAACCTAACGGTGTATTTTTCATGTGACTGTGAACACAGACACCAACTCTGCTAGGAATGAACAGGCCCTGCGGACACAAACCTCCAGGTGGAGTTTTGTGAACCAAGGTATAAGCAGCACATGTATAACTTGAACCCACATTGAGTGTGCCTGTGGGCTGGAGTCACATGTGAGTTCAGGGGTTACACGTGCATATCCTTTATGTGTATGAGGACCAGTGAAAGACCAGTGTTTGCAAGGGATTCCAGGCATGTCCTCAAGCTCCAGGGCACATTCCATTGTTAGAACACATTCATGGGTATTTTGTGGAACCACAGAAAAAATGAAATATAGAGGAGGGTGTAAATCAAGCACAAATGTCTACGCATGAGAAAAACATGAGCTGGCTTGTGTATTATTTTTTAAATCCTCTTCTAGCTCTTTTGAAAGTGTGTGGAACTTTACTGGTGGGGGAAGAGCGTGATTACAGTGCCACAGGGAATGGGGTTGTCTCACCCATTCTGGCACGACAAAAGGGCTGTTCCTGTGTTTCCAGATAACAATGGAGGTGAAGCCTGACCCTGGAAACCAGTCAAGATTCTCAGAGATAAACCCTTGGGCAGCAAGAACACAGTCAATGAAAAGAAACTGACCCTGTGCCTCTTGAGTCACAGAATTCCCACAAATGCTGTGTCCTCGTCAGTTCTGGCAGGACTCACCATCACAACCCCAGACTTCGCCACCACTTTATAAACAGTGTGGAGGGCGTTGCCGGAGTCTCTGAGGAGGGGGCTGCACTAGAAGTCAGGACATCTTTACCTCCAGCACCTAAAAATACAGGATGCCTCCCTCCCTCCCTCTCCCATTTTCTTCTAGAGGTAAAACTTGCCTTCCAGGCTCACAAAGTTATGAGAAACCTCTTCGACAGTTTTCCTCTGGCAGCATTTCCATGCAGGTCATTCCTCTAGGTCTGCCACTGCTGAAAGTACATCAGACGAGCCTGTAACCTGACAGATTTTGGTGTTCTAAAACCTAAACCAAGAGCCTTTGGAAGGACTGCCCAGCCTTGGAACTCGGGGCAGGAAGTTTCAGGGCAAGGGTGGTAGAGGACCTGGGCTAGGGTGAGGAGGACTGGAGCGAGAAAAGAGGAGAAAGAGGGGTTTGCATCAGTGACAATGGAGGTAAGCAGTAGGTTGGAAATTCATTAAGTGTCTTGTTTAAGGTCCAAAATTAATGAGTCTCTTAGAGCCTCAAGTTCCTCAGCAAAATGAGAGTGTTGAAGTTTCTGGATTTTAAATCCAATGAACTAGGACTTGATTCCTTAACCACTGCTTTCCTGTAAAACCCTAAAACCATTCAGCATTGTATAAGCCACTAGAACAATGATTTTCAACATTGGCTGCATATGGAATCACTTGGGGAGCTTTAAGCAATGTTAATGCATGAATTCAGCTCCAGAGATTCTGATGAAATTGGTCTGGATGCGGCCTGTACACCAGGATTTCTCTCTCCTTTCATGAGTCCTCTCCCTGAAATGCAGGTATTGTCTAAAATTCTGTCTGTAACACTCAGATTTCTATTTTTTTTCTCTATTTCTCTTCTCATTCACTCCTACATCATTAATTATCACTTATTTCAGGATGATGCTCAAATCTGTCTAGATCCATGACTTATTTATCCTGCTTTCTTCTGTCCATCTATATCTAAATGGTGATTTTCTAGGCTCCAATTCATGTTCAGTCCCAAACTCAACATCCCCAAAGCTCTTTCATTTCTTGATGGTATACCTCCCATTATCTTATCACCAAGGCTCCAAATCTTAGTGTTATCTTTGTGTGAAATAACACAAAGATTGTGTGATGAATTAAAAAATGCATTAATATAAGCATGTTCCCAATCTCTCTACCACCTGCTCATAAGAGAATGTTGTCTCTGATAGCTTGGCTAAGCCTGCCTTCTTAGGAGAGTTCTGCCTTTTTTGGACTGGTCCCTTAAGTTTCAAGATTCAAAATCAAGAGAATGGATAAACAAAGGTAAGACTGAAGAGGCAGAAGGAAAAAAAAAAAAAAAAAAAAGACACGGGCCTCATGGGCTGAGGCTTTTGAGAGAGTTTCCAGGAAAAAAAAAAAAAAAAAAGGAAAGTAAGAGGTTAGAAGAGTGAGAAGCTCCAGAACTGTTGAGTTCTAAGTACTAAAGACAGAAAAGGGAAGTCTAAGAATTGTTCCTAAACTATGAATTGTATGCTTCTTAAAGATCCTAGAGAACGGCAAGTAAAATTTTGAATTAGTTTTAAAATACTTTTGATTGTTAGACTTTTTTTTTTTAGTTCAGTGTTGCTTTGAGACTGAGTTATGTGGATGTACAGCTTATATTTGGATTACATACAACACCTCCTTCTTCTTCAGTTATCATATCAAAATGTTGCCAAACCCTATAATTTTTCCCCCTTCAGCCTTATCACTCTCTACTTCCCAACAACATCATAAACTCCAGCTAGACTTCCTACTTTTTCTCTAAGCATATCTCAAACTTTTTTCCTTTGGACTTTAGTTTATTTTGTTCCCTATACCCAGAATCACTGTCCATTTCCATCACTTGAAAATTCCTATGTGTCAAAGCCCAGCTTAGAGCCCACTTTCTTGAGGCCTTCCCTGCTGATGCTCCATGCATTCTACATCCCTTCCTGCCTTTGCAATTGTCCGTCACAACAATAACGATGATGATAATACCAATAGCTCACATTTATATGGAGTGTACTATGTCCGGGCACTGTTTCAAGTGCTTTGCACACATTATTTTATTTAATTCTTGCAATAACCCTGGGAGGTTGTACTGTGGGAACTCAAGACAGGAAGGTTAAGTGACTTCCCCATGATTACACAGCTATAATTGTCACAGACAGGATTTGCATCCAGGCTGCAGAGACCTCATCCTTTCTACAGTACACTTATACTTTAATACCTCAGTATATGCCTGAAATATCCTTGTCATTCCTCTAGGTCTGCAGGAAGTTTCCATTTATTACTGCTTCACATTTTGCAGTCCCCTCCCCGCCATTCAACACCAACAAATAAATGGTTGTGCTTCACTATCGTCAGATTTACATAGTCACTTAAGGGTTTGCACTGGCGTCCAAATAGAAGACCTCAGCATGTGCATGATCAGGATTTTGACTTAGAGAGATCCACTTTAGGATGAAGTCTTCAGGGACACTTAATCTAAGAGCAGGGAGCATATGTTTATAAATCTTACCTTTGAGTTTCATCTTCTTCCTCATAATATCTTTGACGTGTCAACTGTAAAGCAAACCACAGAATGGCCATACTTGAGTGAGGCAAAGATTTAACGCTGCTGCTCTAGTTCAAGTGGCTATACCTAGAACTACAGTTGTGTTTTACCAGTCATTGTGAAGTACACACACAGTGATTTAATGCAGCTTGGTTTATGTTGAGATGCAGCTCTGTTCTAACTTCTTGGAGAGAGCAGTGGGGTTACTGTTAAAGGGCAATCCACTTGGTCAGGAATCGTTTTCAGGTGAACAAAACTATGGTTTGATTTGAGAACTACATAAATCATTTAGTTTTAATTCTGTAAAATACATAAGTAACTTTTAGGACAAAAGCATGCTGTAAAGTTTAAATGTAGGCTTCCACTTCTGGCCAAGATTGAATAACAAGGATTGGCTTACTCTCCTAGCTGAAACAACCAAATAAATTGGCAACATATGTGAAACAACAGCTTGAAAGACACTGGATAGCAGGCAAAAAAGGACAGTGGTCTCCAGAGATGTAATGAAGTAAGTGCTACAATTGCCATGGTTTACTGCCTTGAGAGAGTTTGCAAGCCACACCACAAAGAAAGGGAAACCTGAGTAGAACGAGACAAACTTCATGAGTTGAGAATACAGAGCAGAGTCTGGGGAGACCAAGGCTACTAGAACATTCCCGAGGTTTGCAGAGGGTTCCCACTGAAGTAAAAAAAAAAGGACTGATTAGCACATGCACATAAGGAAACTACTGGGGACCAGAAAAAAAAAAAAAAAACCCAAAAAATTAGAGGTAACTGGCTGGGCACAGTAGCTCACGCCTATAATCCCACGTCTTTGAGAGGCCAAGACAGGAGGATTGCTTGAGGGCAGGAGTTAGAGAGCAGCCTGGGCAACATAGCAAGACCCTGTCTCTACTAAAAAGTTAAAAGTTGGCCAGGCATGGTGGATGCACCTGTAGTCCCAGCTACTCAGGAGGCTGAGGTAGGGGGATGGCCTGAGCCCAGGAGTTTAAAGCTGCAGTGAGCTATGAATGTACCACTGCACTCCAGCCTGGGTGACAGAGTGTGAACCTGTCAAAAGAGAAAGAGAGAAAGAAAGAAGGAAGGAAGGAAGGAAGAAATGAAGGAAGGAAAGAAGAAGCCAGACCCAGTGGCTCACACCTGTAATCCCAGCCCTTTGGGAGGCCAAAGTGGGCAGATCACCTGAGGTCAGGAGTTTGAGACAAGCCTGGCCAACGTGGTGAAACCCTGTCTCCACTAAACATACAAAAATTAGTTGGGCATGGTGGTACAAGCCTGTAATCCCAGCTACTGGGAGGCTGAGGTAGGAGAATCACTTGAACCCAGGAGGCGGAGGTTAAAAAAAAAAAAAAAAAAGCCACTGCACCCCAGTCTGGGTGACAGAGTGAGACTGGGTCTCAAAAAAAAAAAAAAAAAAAAGAAGAAAGAAAAAATAGAGATAACAGTGACAGTCACTCTTATAAGGCTAGGAATAGCATCTGTTCTCACCAGCCAGACTTGAAAACCTCAAGATTCATGGTGGGGTACATGAGAGTGTATATAAGGACGCTGCCTCAGTGGTAAGACCTAGTTAATTCTAGACCAAACACCACTCTGTCCTGTCTAACAAACCTTAAAAACAAGAGCCAAAAGGATCAAACTGTTTTCAAGTGATTTATCCAAATTCTGCAAGAAAGCTCCAGAGTATTATCGGAATACAGAAATAACCAGCACCAAACAAAAAATTTAAATGCCTGGAATCCAGTAAAAAATTGCCAGGCATCAAAATAGTAAGAAAGTATAATCTATAGCAAGGAGATTAAGCAATTGAAGCTGAAACAGAACAGATACAGATTTAGATTTAGCAGAGAAGGACATTAAAAATAGCTATAACTATTACATATGTTCCAAAAATTAAGTAGAGACATGGAAGATATATTCTCTTAAAAACAAAATACCATTTATTTATAATTATGTGGTTAGAAAGGACAAGTTTTTAAAATGGACTTTACTGAGGGACAACCAATATGTTACTTTTCCCAAAATTATTTTGGCATTATGTTAATAGACTTCTTGTTTATTGTAATATTTTGGCATGATGTTAACAGACTTCTTGTTTATTGTAATATTTTGGCATTATGTTAATAGACTTCTTGCTTATTATAATATTTTGGCATTATGTTAATTGACTTCTTATTTATTATCTTGCTTATAATTTGTTATGGATTTTTTATTGTGGTAAAAAATGCATAAAATGTACCATTTTAAACATTTCTAAGTATATAATTCAGTAGTGTTAAATATATTCACATTGTCATACAACCCATCTCCAAATCTTTTTCATCTTGCAAAACTGAAACCATTCGTTGAATAACAACTCTCCTTTTCCCCCTACCCGTGGTCCCTGGAAACCACCATTCTGCTTTGTTGTTATAAATGTGTTCTGTTTTTTGTTTTTGTTTTTTTTTTTTCTTTTGAGACAGTTTTGCTCACGTTGCCCAGGCTGAAGTGCAAGGGCGCGATCTCGGCTCACTACAACCTCCACCTCCCAGGTTCAAGTGATTCTCCTGCCTCAGCCTCCCCAGTAGGTGGGATTACAGAAGCATGCCACCACTCCCAGCTAATTTTTGTATTTTTAGTAGAGGCAGGGTTTCACCATGTTGGGCAGGCTGGTCTCAAACTCCTGACCTTAGGTGATTTGCCTGCCTCCGCCTCCCAAAGTGCTAGGATTACAGGCATAAGTCACACGCCCGGCCTGTTTTTATGAATTTGACTACACCAAATATCTCATATAAGTAGGCTCACACAGAATTTGTCTTTTTGTGACTGGCTTATTTCACCTAGCATAATGTCCTCAAGGTTCATCCATGCTGTAGCATGTATCAGAATTTCCTTCCTTTTTAAGGCTGAAAAATTTTCCATTGTGTGCATATACCACATTTTACCTATCCAGCAATGGACACGAGAGCTTCTACCTCTTGACTATTGTAAATAGTGCTGCTATTAACTGCGGAATGTGAATATCTCTTTTGATATTGCTTGACCTAGATTCTTTTGGATATATGTCCAGAGGAGGAATTACTATCGTATGGTAATTCTATTTTTAATTTCTAATAAACCACCATACTAGTTTTTACAGTGGCAACATTTTTTTTCATTCTCATCAATAGTAAACAAGCATTTCAATTTCTCCCATCCTCATCAGTACTTTTTTTTCTGTTTATTTAGGTCTTCTTATTAAAATTTACTTTCATTTTAGGTTCGGGGCACACGTGCAGCTCTGTTATATAGGTAAACTTAGGTCTTTCCGATAGTACCCATCCTCATGAATATGAGGTAATATCTCACTGTGTTTTTTGTTTGTTTATTTTTGAGACAGAGTTTCGCTCTTGTTGTCCAGGCTGGAGTGCAATGGTGCAATCTCGGCTCACCAAACCTGGGAGGTGGCTCCAGGGTTCAAGCGATTCTCCTGCCTCAGCCTCCAAGTAGCTGGGATTACTAGTATGCACCACCACGCCTGGCGAATTTTGTATTTTTTTTTTTCTTTAGTAGAGATGGGGTTTCTCCATGTTGGTCAGGCTGGTCTCAAACTCACGACCTCAGGTTATCCACCCGCCTCAGTTTCCCAAAATACTGGGATTATAGGTGTGAGCCACCATGCCGGGCCTCACTGTGTTTTTCATTTGCATCTCCCTAATAATTAGTGATGTTTAGTATCTTTTCATATGCTAATTGGCCATTTGTATATCATCTTTGGAGAAATGTCTATGCAACGTTTTGCCCATTTTTAAATTTTTTTGTTGTTCAGTTGTAGCAATATATATTTTTTAAAAATCTAAATCACATTTGTAGACATGAAAACAATATGTGAGATAAAAAATATGCTGGATGATATTAGTGGCAAATTAAACACAGCAAGCAAAGATTAGTGACACTGAAGATACAGTAACAGGACTGTCCAAAATGGAACAAAGAAAATATAGTATTTTTAAAACATCCCACCATTGGATCTAACAAAAAATAAAATTAAATAAATAAAAACAAAAACAGAGAATCAGTAATTTCTTTCTTTCTCTTTCTTTCTCCCTTTCTCTTTCTTTCTCTCTGTCTCTCTTTCTTTCTTTCTTTTTGACAGGGTTTTGCCCTGTCACCCAGGCAGGAGTGCTGTGGTACAATGATCATGGCTCAGTGCAACCTCAACCTCCTGGGCTCAAGTGATCCACCCACCTCAGCCCCCCAAGTAGCTGAGACTACAGGCACATGACACCACAGTTGGCTAATTTTTACATTTTTTGTAGCAATGGGGTTTTGCCATATTGCCCAGGCTGGTCTTGAACTCCTAGGCTTAAGTGATCCACCTGCTTCACTCAGCCTCCCAAAATGCTGGGATTATAGGCATGAGCCACTGCACCTGGCTAGCCTAAATAATATAGGCTATTTCTTTAAGTAGCCTAATATACACGTAATTGGAGTCCTCCAAGAAAAGGAATGGGAAGAGGGCCAAAAATATATTTTTCCAAACATTATGAAAATCCATAGATCCAAGAAGTTCAGTGACCCTCGAGTGTAAGGCAAATGAAAAATAACGCCAAGGCACATCATAAACAAATTAGTCAAAACCAGTGATAAAGAGAAAATATTACAAGTAGCCAGAAAAAAGAAAGAAAGACACACTGCGTACAGACAAACAAAGATAGGTTGACAGATTTGGTTTTGGAAACAAGGCAAATGCTTCCTTGTGAGGAAGCAACATCATTAAAAAATTGAAAGGACAAAAAAGTATCAGGCAAGAATTCTACACCCTGTGAAAATATCTTTCTAAAGTGAAAGCTGAAAGAATTCATCACCAGCAGGCTCACACTAAGAGAATTATTAAAATAAATCCTTCCAACAGAGGGATGATTATAACAAATAGAAATATGGATCTACACAAAGAAATATGAAAGTTGGAAATAGGTAAATATATGTCTTATTATGCTTCTTTAAGTCTCTTTGAAAGCCCAGTTATTGTCTAAACAAAATAACAATG